ACATTGTGGACACCAATATATTTCATATAACCATACAAAATGTTTATTGACTAAGTATTACACTTAATACACAGAAAATACATTTACAAAGAGTACATACTCATAAGCCATAACATTTCATACATTCACATATCGCATCCAGTTTTGCTTACACATATTACATACATACACATACAAATATTGCATAAATATATATATAGTACATACCCATACACAAACCAGATAAAACTAAATCTGGAATATAAGTTGCATCATTAACGTCACTGTAAGATGTAAATTCTTTATCTAACCCTTTTCCATTTGCAACTAACTTATCTAAGGCTACAGGATCAGGATATGTAGTAGCCTCAGGATTATTTACATATGGAATATATATGTAGTTTGCCAAGCTTCTTACTGTTTCGTATGTGGCACTGATTTTAGAAGGATCTTTTTCTATGTTTTCTTGGCCATCAGTAGTAAAGAGAAGTACTTTTTTACCTCTGCAAGCTGGACTCTGCATAAGATTGATTGCTTGTGTTAAACCAGCATTTATAGCAGTACCGCCTGTGATCATGGAAACTGAATCTATTGCAGCGTTAAAACTTGTAGCATCAGTGAAAGATCTACAACCAAATTCAGTTCTTGCTGTAGATGCAAAGTTGACTAAACCAAAAGTGGTATTTGAAGTAAAACCTACACTAGCAGCAAATCTTTTTACAAAATTTCTTTCAAGTCCCCAATAGTAATCAGTAACACTTGATGAGGAATCAATAACAATTATGTAGGAAATCATTGATGAACGGCAAGATGAATCTAAAATTATTTTTCAGTAAAATTTTATTTTAAGTGACAACAATAAAGGTCATTATGACAATTAGAAAATTAAAAAAAAAAGAATAACTTTATTTTAATAAACTTTTACTAATAATTAACTTTCAAACTTAAGTTAGAAAAAAACTATTAAGATCTTAAACTAAAATATATATATATATATATATATATATATATATATATATATATATATATATATATATATATATATATATATATATATATATATATATATATATATATATATATATATGTTCAATCAATCAATAACATTTGGTATTTTTATTATTCAATATTTTTTCTTATTTAATTAACTTTTCTTATTTAGTTAACCTTTTTATTATGTTGATCAAAAACATTTATTCTATTATAATTTATGGTTAATAAATACAATAAAATATTGTTTTTTTTTGCTGTTCCAATGTTTTAATTAACTCTCAAACTATTTTTCATAGTAAAATGGCAATTTTTGCGATAACCACTGAGATGAAAACCACTTTTCACTGAATTTTATAACTTAGCACTTTTTAGTTTTAAAAGATATAAGCCAAAACCATCACTTTAAACTGACAAATATCTAGGTGCTTTTAATCACAATGATCTCTTTTATATTACTTGACTAATTCCTGACCTATTTATTACTTTAGGCCAGTCAGAATAAACACCACACAAGAATATTTGTTTCAAAATAAGCTTCAGATAAATCAAACAACTTTAGGACATATTTATGACAACTATGGTTTAGCGGTTTATTACTTTTGTTAATCAAATTTAAAACATTAAATCACATTTAATACGGTTAATCACATTTTAGACTTTAATGAGATTTTTGGATTATTCCTAAAAACTTACAAATCCATTTTAGTAAATAAAAAGTATATTTTATCAACAAAAAGATTTGTGCTCAATTGTGTGGTCTCTCACTAATCTCTTTATAATTTTACTTGCAAATAAAGCAAACAAGATTGAACAATATAGTTGATTAATTGAGTTTACACTTTTTTTTAACAGGTGATATCTTGCATCTTTCCAGAGCAAGTTAAAAAATCTCTTTGTTAATTTTTGATAAATAAGATAATAAATCAGCTAAATTACAGATAAGATGATGAAGATGATATATAAAAGATGATATATATATATATATATATATATATATATATATATATATATATATATATATATATATATATATATATATATATATATATGTATATATATATATATATATATATATATACATAAGATAACGAATAACTCAGCTTCTTATGACTTGTTAGCTAGAGGTATGGAATTCATACCCATGCCTCTAAAAGTATTATGTAATTAAAACTTGTTTCAACCTGCAGCTTGGAGTAAAGTCACAACTTTTTTTAAAAATTTTAATTTTTTAAAAATATCTTGATTATATATAATTTATTTATATACCTTAAATAAAAAATAATTGCCAAATTTTAAGTCTTTCAACTTTTAGGAAATATTAGGTGTAAACATTATTTTTTTTCATGTTTTCTGCTACTAGTAGCAGAAAATAATGAATAATGTGATGGATGATTTTAGAAACCAAGAATTGTAAAATATTGCTACATAAGGAGCAATTTTTTGTTGAGATTTTGCCTCCCCCCCCCCCCCTTAATGATGGCATGGAAATGATGGCATTGGAATGATGGCAGTTATATGATGACATGAATGATGACAGCTGAATGATGGTAATTGAATGATAGAAGTTGAATTATGGCAGTTGAATGATGATAGTTAAATGATGGCAGTTTATAGATGGCATTAGAATGATCGTAGTTAATTGATGGCATTGCAATGATCAAAGTTGAATGATGGCATTCTTTAGTGTACCATCTTATGTATATAAGTAAGGAGAAGTTATTCTTAAAAACTTTACAATCAAGTTGATGTGTTAATAATCTCATTGCATATTGGAAAACTTTTAAATATATTTTCAAATTTGCAAGTTTTTTTGATGCTTTAGTCTTTGGTACTTCAACAAAATAACAGATGTGTCTCTTATGTGTCAAAATAAAAAATGTGTCTCTCATGTGTCAAAATGACAGATGTGTCTCTCAAATATGTATCAACAACATAACAGCTACATAAATATGTAACTAATAGCCTACTAATAAGTTAAACTTGATTATGTTAACCAGTGATGATGCATCAGGATGAATGTAGTGTGGAAAATGATTTTGAATGGAGCTTTCTCATCATAAAAAGCTAAATTTTTCAATTTTAAAATCTTCAAATATTTTTTTGATTTAGGGGACATTTGGCTTTGGATAAATTGGATACAAAACTTTTAACAAAAAATGATTACTATCAGTCAACTATCATTTTCAGGAACTGTCACACTTACTGAAACCCAGTTTTACAGTAATACTAATTTTATGATCCCATTCATTACATATCATGTCAATGACATCCATTCATTACACACTTTGTTAACAAAGTGAAGGACAAGTTTTTTACAGATTAAAACATAATATAACTATTTCTAATTTATTCCCCTTTTTTTTTCATGATTTGAGATTTTTTTCTATAAGTTCCTGATTTTGACAAAACAATGTTTTTCAAATTATGACCTGAATGCTTCAGAATTCAGGGGATAAGAAGAAAGAAACTCTGTATGACCCCTTATACCAAGATGAAATTTTGCAAATTCACTTATACTTTATATTATTTATCTGGATACGTGAGATCATAAGATAAAATTGACTGAAATGGTATTGATTTTATTTCAATATTAGATGATGATTTTTAAATAGATTTTTAATTTATATAAACATTGTTATACAATTGTTGAACACTAACAGTGTGCCATTATATAAATAACGTAAAATAGGTAATAACTATTAGTTACATAATATCACTCTATAAATATGTAAACTGTAATAACAATAAGACTGTAAGAAACTAAAAAATGAAATGAAATATGTAATACCATACAACATTGACAAAATACAAACAAAAATATTATGTAAACAAAACAACCATTAAATAAGCTATTAATTTGGTTGTTAAAAAATGATGATACTACTGACAGTTACAACTTTGAACAGCAACTGGTTAGAAAACAATAATTTTTAGAAACTATGTTTTCAAATTTCTAGTCAACAATTTTATTTGTGCATCTAATATTTATGACCTCACAAAAGTAAATAAAAAAATATGTAAATAATAAAAGTCTTACCACATGGTACATTATTACATGTTCTTGAATCCACTACTGTAACGCTATTATCACACTGACTACAATTACCACAACTGCACGATCTCCATCTCCATTGTGATGGACTAGCAGTGTTAACACAAGAAGACGAGCAACCTGTCCAACTTGACCAATTAGTAACATCAATTTCTAAGTAATAAACAAATTTAGTAACTTATATCATAAAAATTCAACATAAAAAATAATACTTATTATGACTTTTTGCTAAAACAAAACATTCACTTACTATAATAAAACATTCACTTACAAGTGTTAAAAATTTGTTTAACAAAAAGAAAAATTAAAGAAAATTTTGGTACGCGTACGTGGACAAGCCTGTTCATCACAAAAAATAGAATTAGTTAATTCTATTCCTACACAACCATTTTGAACAAGTGGGGAACAAGTTCTGTAACGAGTTCGTACACCATTTGATCCACAAGTAGCGGAGCAATCACTATATCCAGACCATTGAGTTAGGGTATTATTAAAACCTAATAGAAATATAAAGAGTGTCAAAGGTGTTAGCCTAATAGAAGTATAAAGGATGTTGAAGAAAACCAAATATTGTCAAAAGCAAATAAGAAATTGCAATAAAAAAAAGTATGTAGGAAAACCAAAATTAATAAAAAGAAGACAGGAAATTGTAATGAAAATTAAAGTGTGTTGGGAGAACATGAAAACATGAAATAGATATGAAAAATCAGAAGAAAAAAAAAAAGAAAACCAAAATAATGTAAATTAAAGTAGAAATGGAAAATCATAATAAAAAAAAATTATAATATAAACCAGAACATGAGAAAAACCAAATTTAAAAAAAAATAAGAAAAAAAATAAATTAATAAATTAAAAAAAAATTAGAAAATACCAGGATTTATAAAACTAGAAAATACCAGACTTCAATAAAGAAGGTAATATCGAAAATTATAATAGTTCAAAATAACGTGAAACAACTTTAAAAGTTAGGAAAACCATATTATAAAATAGTAATAAGAAAATTAAATAAAAAAAAGCTAACATTAGAGAAAATACAAAAGAAACTACAAGCAAAACATGTACTTATAATTAGGCATAAATTTCAAGAAACCGTTATAATTTAGAAATAATTATAATTTCTAATATAAAATAGCAACATAGCAATTATTATTATTTTTAATTAGACACTTACATCTGGAAGTTTGACAGGAAATAACTTGATAAAGATCACTTTGTAAAACTGCACCACATTGTGCTACGCAAGATCGCTGACGACTTTGAACACCATTTCCACAAATACTTTCAATGCAGGCACTCCAACTTCCCCAAGCAGTTAAAGATGTTGGTAAAGCTAAAAACAAAACAAAATTTTTAATAAAAAGTCAAATGATTTGGTACCATGGTGATTTGGTACAAATAAAATAATGATAGAGTAAAACAAAATGCAAGCAATAAAAAAATTTATAGTGGTCCTAATGATTTGGTACCAAAAAAAAATATTTATTACTTATAATTGTAAAATATATAAAAACAATTCAAGTTTAATTATTTCAGTTTTAATATATATTGCAATTTTTTTTTTGAATAACTTAAACTTTGTTATAAATAAATTTGGTACCAAAAAATGTATGTGCAAGTGTTGTAAATAAAAAATTGAAAAAAAAAATCTAAAATAAAATATAAAAAACAAATAAAATGTACCATAACAGCTGTTGACTCCATCACCAACAAAACCATTGTTGCAAACACAAGTTGTACCTTGACAATAAGCATTGGGATGACAGACATTTGAGCAAGTAGCTGTAATTAAAAAAGACAAAAACATTTTAAGTATTCATGGAAATAAAATTTGTTAAATGATTTCAATAAAAACAAAATACTTAAAACTATAAATTTGTAAATAAAAAAATTTTTTTAAGTAAAATAAAAATTTGCAATTAAAATAAAAACTTGACAGTAAAATATGACAGTAAAATTGAGACGAAACATTTTTTTTTTTAATTCAATAGTTTTATATTTTACCCAGTATGGAAGATCATTTGCTATAAAACTTCTAAACATCCATATTAAAACAAGTTTTAAACATCTACTTGAATTTAGGTTTTACTTATTCAAAAATCTCAATAAATATAAATCTTAAAAAACATGATGGGAACTACTTAATTTTATCCCTCCCTTCTTTACCATAATTTTTGTTTGATCATTAAAGAATAAATTATGTTGATTTTGAATTATACAAAATCATGGGTCTGAAAAGTTAAGGAAAAATCTAATTAGATGCTAAAATTAAAAAAACTAAAAAAAATCAATGTTTGCTAACTTTTTTAATATTTGGGTATGATTAAATTCCTTTTCTAAGTTAAGTTAAAAAAAACCTAGTATTGACTTTAAAAAGCAAAACAGTTTCAAACCTAGGCCATGCCAAAACCCATTGGTCTCTGATTGATATCTAGCCCTAACTCTAAACCTGAACGACGTACGTTTTTTTATGCTCATACTTGTTATCAGTAATGTTTATTTGATTGAGCTAATCCCTATTTATAAGGGGTGTATGCAAATTTAATTGCATCAATATCTATTTGTAGTTGATGTATGTATTTCCAAAAAACAGTCTTAGAAGTATTATATTAAAAGCATATATTCATAAATAACATTGAATTAAATTTAAAAAACTTTAATTTTGATGACAATAAAAACTTACGTAATTAAAAAAAGATTTTCTAAATAACTGATTTCTAAACAAAAACAGTTTTAAAAACGTTTTTAAAAAGGTGGCAGTTATTAGTGTTTTTTAGGGTAATTTTTTTTTTAGACCTATGTTTTTATATGAGTCTGTAAATTATAAAAAGAACATCATATAATAAGAACATTCAAAATAACAAGAGAAGGGAGGAAGAACAGTAACATCTTTAATCTTAATTCTAAAAAAAAAAGTCTGAATACTTGTTGTTATATTTTTTGATGGATCAATCAGCCAACTCATATTAAGTCAGCTATGAAAGAAATAAAAGTTCATAAAATATCTTAATAGCTATAAAAACCTAAACAGGTTTATAACAGGTTTATGTCTAGAAACCAATTAATCTAATGAGAAAAGGAGATTTATATTAATTGATCAATCCTTGATGTTTAAAGATTTTTTATTTAAGTAAAGCTGCTGCCAAAGTAAATCATAAAAAAAAATATTAAAAAAAAAAAAAAACTATTTTATATTGTAAAACTATTTAGCTAAAACAATTTTATATTTTATTTTTTTGTACATCAGCACTTAGTTTATACTTTGGTACTTACTCTATACTTTAGTATATACTTTATACTATAGTATATACCTTAATATTTTGTTTCTAACTTAATAATTAATATTAAAGTAATTTAGAAAAAAATTTAGAAAAAAAAAATTCCCTTTAAAAATAATCCTTTCTATAATTTCTAGACTAAAACCTAACTCTAAAAAATAACTTGATTAACTAATAAATTAATAGCAAAAGTAGTTTACAGTATTCTATTATTTTACAGGAAAAAGAAAAAACTTTTTCTGAATATATAATTGAATTATATTTAATATATAAACTCAAAAATTATACCAATCTAAATAAAAAGTTACCTGAGCAATTAACAGTTCCATCACCAATAAAACCATTTTTACAAATGCATGTTGCACCACTACAAAAAGCATTTGGATTGCAAGTGCCAACCTGACAGCTCACTGAAAAAGTTAAAAATAATTATAAGTTTTAACATTTTACTTTTTCAAAATATATATTCAGATTGCTGGAATAAAGAGATGACGAGTGCCCAACTCTTTTCTCCAGCTTAGCACTTTTATAATATAAAAGTGCTGGGTATTGTTTTTTCAGAAAAAACTGCAAAAAATTGAACCCTGTACCTGAAATATATATATATATGCATATATATACATATATATATATATATATATATATATATATATATATATATATATATATATATATATATATATATATATATATATATATATATATATATATATATATATATATATATATATATATATATTATTGTATATATAAAACTATAAATTCAAATAACCTGCACAGTTAGTAACTCCATCTCCAAAAAAACCACTCTTGCAAACGCAATTAGTTCCAACACAGATAGCATTTGGATGACATACATTAGCGCACGTAACTTAAAATAAAAATAAATAAAAAAAGTTTAAAAAATTTATTTTTGTTTGATACATAAATTTGTTTTTAAATGTTATTATATTTATTTTTATAATGTTTTGTTAATTTATACTACATTAGTTTTGACATTTGAGTAAAACAGTTTTGAGATTTTTACAAAATCGAAATTTATTTTCACATGAATATTACAGGTTTATATAACTTTTTTATTTTATGTTGTACAATTTATTTTATGAATGAATGAATCAATTTTCAACAATACTTTTCATGATTAAATTATTTTCAGTTTTTATTAAGCATTTTTTTTTAAATAATTTAACTTAAAAATTAGCTAAATTAAAAAAACAAATAAATTAAAAAAATTATGATTATTAAATTGAAATAATTTTAACTTTATTTTAACTAAAACTTCATTAAGGAGATATAAATCTTTGTCAACACAGCAGAAGTTCATTTTTATCATCTTTGTTTTTTCACATTTTTGTTTCAATTATCTTTTTTTCTGGGTCTGCTGCTTATTTATTGATTTTTTTTTATACATCAAAAATTAAAACAGTTACCAATCCATCTGAAATTTAGAAAACTCATTTAAATAAGCATTTAAATATATTTTAAATATTTTAAATTTCTACAAAAAAATGGGCTAAACTTTTTCTTCTACTATGCTCAGAGGCTACAAACCTTTTTTTTACAAACAAATTTATTTACTTTCCTCTTGTTATTACATGTTTTTTTATTTTCATTAGGTCACCTTTAGATTTTTCTTTAATAACTAATACTTTTTGAAAACAAACACTTTTGTTAGCAAATTAATGTTTATAATTTTTTCTTATATCTGAAACAACTTAATTAGAACTAATAATAATTTTTACTAATTATAATGCAATTTAATGTTGTTATTTTATAGATATTTTGAATTTCTTTTTACTACTAACTAATTATGAACCATTATGATTCTGCTTTCCAATAAACAGAGTAATAATTAAGATGAGTAGTTGTGAACAAGTCAATATTTATTTTAGTTATTGATTGTCCATTTTTTTTACCCATTTTTTAGGTCCGAATACACACCTGTGCATTGATTAACTCCATCACCAATAAAACCTTTGTTGCAAACACAAGTTGAGCCAATACATGTAGCATTTGGATTGCAGGTTGGACATGTAGCTAGAATATTCATTACATAAAATTATTTTAAAATAAAAATTCAAAAATTAAAAAAATATATTAGAACTAAATTACTAATTGCAACTGAAATAAGAAAAATGTAAAATTTAAACTTTATATAAATTAAATTTATTGTTAATAACTGAAAGTGATAATCAATAAATTTAATTAAATTAATAAAAATTTTCAGTGTAAAGTAAAACTAAAAGAAATATAGTATAAAGAAATATAAATATAAAAAAAGTAAAAAGTAAAAAGAAACTTATATTGTTGATTAAATAATTATTTAAGATAAGTTTTAAAACTTAAAATCTCTGTCATGATTTTTTCAAATAAAATTTAAAATCTAAAATTGGAATGCATCACTCTAACATGTGAACTTATGATTCAATTATTACTAATATGAGGCAAGCATAAAATATAGTAAAAACCTTAGTTCTTAATGCTTTTAACTAAAGTTTAAAATGTAAAACTTCAGTTTGTAAATACTTTGAGTTAATACTAAATATTAGTAATCCTTTTGAGTGCTAAAACCAAGATTAGAATACTTTGGTGTAAAAATATTAGTAATCCTCTTGAATGCTAACCAAAACTAGAATACTTTAGTGTAAAATTGTTTCAAATGCAGACTAAAAAAATGATATTGAAATTTTCATTTTTTATGCACCAATTTTTTTAGTACATTTTTGATAATGATATTAAAATTTAGAAGTTTTTTACATCTTTACATTTGATACATAAACTTTCTTGTTGAATTTTCGATGCAAAAAATCCAATAGTATTACAAAAATTCTCACATATAAAAATTAAAATAAAAAATAAATTATAAATGTTTTCTATTAAACATAATATTTATATAAATATAAGTGAAAATATGTTTTCAATTTTACATAATATCAATACAAATATTAGTATAAATATGTTTTCTATTTTACATAATATTTATACAAATACTATGTAAAAATAAAATATAAATGATTTTGATGATAATAAATTTCAAAAAATATAAGTATAAACAAAACAAGAATGAGTACTGATATAAAAATGCAATTATTCATTTAAATCATGACTAACTGCTCATTAATTAAATCATGACTGATTGCTCATTCTTTAATATATATACCTGTGCAGCTAAAGTAGCTAAAATATTTATTAAATCAAATATTATTTTGCAAACTAAACAGCTTAACCTTTAAAAAGTTTTATTTTTTCTAATTCACTCATATGCTAATAATAAAACAAAAAGAAAATTAAAATATTGTAAAAAATTGTATAATAACATGATTTAATAATGGTTTCCATGGTTACATAGTTTTAAATGCTATTATATAAACTCAAACATAGTATTATTTTAACTTGTTTATTAAAAAAAATCTTTCATATATATACCTGTGCAGCTATTAACTCCATCACCGATAAAACCATTCTTACAAATGCAAGTTGTGCCTACACAAGTAGCGTTAGGATTGCATGCACTTGAGCAGGTAGCTAAGAAAATTGTAAAATGTAAAAATATAGTTTACAAGGCTACTAACCATTAAAATAAAACATGGTTAAAAAATTTAAAATATTACCTACAACATGGTTGAAAAATTATTTTATAATTTTTCAACCATGTTGTATTCGAGATATAATGAAATAATTATAATTCTTATAATTATTTCATTATATCTCGAAAACATTCTGCTTTACTCTACCTTGAACTGCTTTACTCAGTTTTACTCTACCTTTCATATAAACATAAGAAAAAGAAACTTTATAGTCAAAATGATCTCAAAATGACAGGTAATTACTAAATTAAGTATTGCAAGGACTTGAGCAAATAGCTTAGAAAATTATATAGTTTACAATGTTACTAAACTAAAAATCAAAACATTCATGCATAATTTTTATACATTTACTAAAAAAAATTTTTATATATATACCTGTGCAGTTATTAATTCCATCACCAATAAAACCATTCTTACAAACACAGGTTGTACCAACACATATAGCATTAGAATTGCATGTACTTGAGCACGTAGCTGAGAAAATTATAAAATGTAATAATATAGCTTACAAGACTACTAAACTTAAAAATCGAAACATTCATGTATAACTTTTATGTTTTAATAAAAATCTTTTATATATATACCTGTGCAGTTATTAATTCCATCACCAATAAAACCATTCTTACAAACACAGGTTGTACCAACACATATAGCATTAGGATTGCATGTACTTGAGCACGTAGCTGAGAAAATTATAAAATGTAATAATATAGCTTACAAGGCTACTAAACTAAAGAATTGAAACATTTATGTATGATTTTTATGCTTTTTTTTTTTAAAAATCTTTTACATATATACCTGTGCAGTTATTAATTCCATCACCAATAAAACCATTCTTACAAACACAGGTTGTACCAACACATATAGCATTAGAATTGCATGTACTTGAGCACGTAGCTGAGAAAATTATAAAATGTAATAATATAGCTTACAAGGCTACTAAATTAAAAAATCGAAACATTCATGTATGATTTTTATGCTTTAAAAAAAATCTTTTATATATATACCTGTGCAGTTATTAATTCCATCACCAATAAAACCATTCTTACAAACACAGGTTGTACCAACACATATAGCATTAGGATTGCATGTACTTGAGCACGTAGCTGAGAAAATTATAAAATGTAATAATATAGCTTACAAGACTACTAAACTTAAAAATCGAAACATTCATGTATAACTTTTATGCTTTAATAAAAATCTTTTATATATATACCTGTGCAGTTATTAATTCCATCACCAATAAAACCATTCTTACAAACACAGGTTGTACCAACACATATAGCATTAGGATTGCATGTACTTGAGCACGTAGCTGAGAAAATTATAAAATGTAATAATATAGCTTACAAGGCTACTAAACTAAAGAATTGAAACATTCATGTATGATTTTTATGCTTTTTTTTTTTTAAAATCTTTTACATATATACCTGTGCAGTTATTAATTCCATCACCAATAAAACCATTCTTACAAACACAGGTTGTACCAACACATATAGCATTAGAATTGCATGTACTTGAGCACGTAGCTGAGAAAATTATAAAATGTAATAATATAGCTTACAGGGCTATTAAACTAAAAAATTGAAACATTCATGTATGATTTTTATGCTTTTTTTTTTTAAATCTTTTACATATACATACATACATACATATATATATATATATATATATATATATATATATATATATATATATATATATATATATATATATATATATATATATATATATATATATATATATATATATATATATATATATATATGTATAAATATATATACCTGTGCAGTTATTAATTCCATCACCAATAAAACCATTCTTACAAACACAGGTTGTGCCTACACATGTAGCATTTGAATTGCATGCACTTGAGCAAGTAGCTAAGAAAATGATAGAATGTAATAATACATTTTGTAACGTTATTAAACTAAAAAATTGAAACATTCATGTATGATTTTTATGCTTTAAAAAAGATCTTTTATATACATACCTGTGCAGTTATTAATTCCATCACCAATAAAACCATTCTTACAAACACAGGTTGTACCAACACATATAGCATTAGGATTGCATGTACTTGAGCATGTAGCTAAGAAAATTATAAAATGTAATAATATAGCTTACAAGGCTACTAAACTAAAAAATTGAAACATTCATGTATGATTTTTATGCTTTTTTTTTTTTTTTTTAAACCTTTTACATATACATACATATACACATATATATATATATATATATATATATATATATATATATATATATATATATATATATATATATATATATATATATATATATATATATATATATATATATATATATATATATATATATATACCTGTGCAGTTATTAATTCCGTCACCAATAAAACCATTCTTACAAACACAGGATGTGCCAACACATGTAGCATTAGGATTGCATGCACTTGAGCAAGTAGCTAAGAAAATGATAGAATGTAATAATACATTTTGTAACGTTATTAAACTAAAAAATTGAAACATTCATGTATGATTTTTATGCTTTAAAAAAGATCTTTTATATACATACCTGTGCAGTTATTAATTCCATCACCAATAAAACCATTCTTACAAACACAGGTTGTACCAACACATATAGCATTAGGATTGCATGTACTTGAGCATGTAGCTAAGAAAATTATAAAATGTAATAATATAGCTTACAAGGCTATTAAACTAAAAAATTGAAACATTCATGTATGATTTTTATGCTTTTTTTTAAAAAAAATCTTTTACATATATACCTGTGCAGTTAATAATTCCATCACCAATAAAACCATTCTTACAAACACAGGTTGTACCAACACATATAGCATTAGGATTGCATGTACTTGAGCACGTAGCTGAGAAAATTATAAAATGTAATAATATAGCATACAAGGCTACTAAACTAAAAAATTGAAACATTCATGTATGATTTTTATGCTTTTTTTTTTTAAATCTTTTACATATACATACATACATATATATATATATATATATATATATATATATATATATATATATATATATATATATATATATATATATATATGTATAAATATATATACCTGTGCAGTTATTAATTCCATCACCAATAAAACCATTCTTACAAACACAGGTTGTGCCTACACATGTAGCATTTGAATTGCATGCACTTGAGCAAGTAGCTAAGAAAATGATAAAATGTAATAATATATTTTGCAACGTTACTAAACTAAAAAATTAAAACATTCATGTATTATTTTTATGCTTTTTTTAAGAAAAACCTTTATATATATATATATATATATATATATATATATATATATATATATATATATATATATATATATATATATATATATATATATATATATATATATATATATATATATATATATACCTGTGCAGTTATTGATTCCATCACCAATAAAACCATTCTTACAAACACAGGTTGTACCAACACATGTAGCATTTGAATTGCATGCAGTGGCACAAGTAGCTAAAATATTTGTTAAATAAAACTTTATTTCTTAAATTGAAAAAATCTACTTAATAAAAAACCTTTTACTTCTAAGTAACTTTTTAAACTTTAGGTTCTTCAAAACTTCAAGATATAAGGATTAGGAATTAAGCAAGCATTTTACGGTTTTAATATTTAATTAATTTTAGTCTGTCCACTTCGTTTTACAATAGAAAAATACTCTTTCCACAGCCGCGTTTGATGTAGGAATCAATAATATAACGCTTAATAAAGTTTTCAAATCAACAATCATTTTGCTTCGAAACAAAGTAGACCATTTTTTTATCAATCAGCAAATTCTTTAATTTATAGAAAGAAACTTCCATTAATGAGTTTAACTCACTTGTTTTATCTTACTTTACGTCCTCGGTTTCATCAAACAACAAATATTTCATGGCAATATCAGACAATAAATACTTAGCTGACTTTTAAACTACGTCATATTTATTTTCAGCTTTTAAGATCAACCAATCGGTTAAACAAGGATAATTATTTAAGCAGAACCACTTATCAATGTAATTAATTGTCTTTATATTTAAAAATATATATTTAAATTTTAGGGGAGCAAGTTGTTACTAGGTTGATTGAATAATGGTGGTTAAAATAGCAATAACGAATTGTCCAAATAAATTCTGAAACTTTATATTAAAAATGTTTTGAGACTTGGTTGCAATAACAAACCATGAATAAAATTTTTTTTTATTACTTTTCATTTTTTAAAACTTTTTTTAGATAAAAACATGATATTATTTTTAGAAATATCAAAAAAAAATTAAAAAAAAAAAGTAATTTAATTAAAAACAAATATGGTGCAGGACAAACTTCACATTACATTTAATAAATTAGGGGATCATAACCTCTAATAGTATACTATTTATTGCAATTTATATTTCAGCCATCAGTAGAATATTTTATTCTCTAAATTTTTTTTTCTAAACTTTTATTTAAATTTAATAATAATATTAGTATTTATAATTTCATGCTTTAACCAAAACTTTTACAGCAGTCTTTAAAATGCAAACTCTAAAAAAGTTATAATTATTTTGATTATCCTTTTTATACATTCAGATAAACAAATTAATATAGACAGAATCAGTGGGTCATCAATTATTCCCCATTCTTCCAAAATCTTTTAAAAATCTTTTGAGTCAAGACTAAATTCTTTTGAGTTTTGACTAAATGCAGCCTAAATCTTCTAAATATTTAAAAATCAATAATATAAAAATTTTAAAAATTAAAATTAGTAATCTAAATATTTCAGTGCTTTAAAATTATTGAGTAAAACGATAATAGACAATGTGCATTAGATCATATGCAAAGTCCTCCTCAATAATAGATATGAAGCTTTACTAATCATATATGTATGTGTATATATATATATATATATATATATATATATATATATATATATATACAAATATACAAAAAAGTAACAGAGCAGAAAGATAATATAAAATTAATGATGCTGTAAGATCCAATTAGAATTATGTATTGGACTAATAAATGTAAAACTCAATCCTCAGAGATAGATTCATCAATGATGTTTTGAAGAGCCTGATAAAAAAGATTAGCACCACTCAAAGGAATGTATCCTTGCAATTTGGAGTTTTTTTAGCCATACGGTCAACATAAATGGTGACCATTACCATTAAATTACCATCAAATTTGAAGCTTTTCAATTTTCATGGTCAAACAAACAGATAATGGCATTCAGCAATTTGCTTCAGTTTTGAATGAAACAAATTTACTAGATTTAATAATCATTTTATAAACTTTATGCAATTTAATTTATTTTGAATTTCTTCTCCTTACTGATTAGTAAGTGAAAACTGAAATCAAAAAAATTGCACTTGAGTAAGTAGCTAAAAAAACTGAGCAAAATGTAACAAATAAAAAAATTAATATAAATAGTACTAATTCATAAATCAAACCAATTAAATATACTTTCAGATAAACAGAGTAATGATTAATATAAATAAATCAAGTAGTCATGAACCATTATTGACTTGCTGTTCTTTTAAATCCAAATACATACCTGTGCATTGACTAACTCCATCACCAATAAAGCCTTTGTTACAAACACAAGTTGTGCTAACACATGTAGCATTTGGATTGCAAGCAGATGGACATGTAGCTAAAATATTCATTATATGAAATAATAACAAAACAAAAACTATAAAAACATAAAAGTTATTCAAATTAAATAAAAACAAAACTAAAAAAAGTGTTAAATTTAAAATTTATATAAATTAAATTTATTTTTTTATAACTGAAACTGATAATCATTAAACATAATTCAATTAAAAAAGATTTTTTGAGCATAAAAAAAAAAAAAAAATTCCAAACTATTTCAAATAAAGTCTAAAATGTATAAATTCAGAGTGCAAATTATAAAAAAAATATTAAAAATAAATTTTTTATTTCACATAATTTTCAGATATTAAATTTTAAACTAAGTTGCTTATTAAACTTGAAACCAAGTTTCTTATTAAACTTTATGTTCATAAGAATTAGATTTAAGGATTAGGATTGGGCACTAAGTTATTATTTGGCACTAAGTTGGTTAATTTTCAAATAGTATTTATAGTAGGGTTTAAATTCATTCACAGAAAATAGATAAAGCTATATTAAATTATAACTAATTCAAATAATGGATGAATAAACTTAAAACATTATGTTATATAGGGTTTATATAACTAAACAAAGACTAAAAAAAACATTAAAAAAAGTAACCTGTGCAGCTATTCACTCCATCACCAATAAAACCAGGCTTACAAACACAAGTAGTACCACTACATGTTGCATTAGAATTACACGATAATAAGCAAGGAGCTAAACACATATATTAGTATTTGTAATATTAAACACATCAGTTATAAAAGTCATTTGAGTCATCAAAAACAGCAATTACCCAACATGTTTTTAAATTTAACCATTTGTGTGGAATGTCAATAATCTCTTTAGATGATTGTTCCAATTAATTGCTGCTCTATTTGTTATAAACTTGTTTCTGGGTTCACAATTGCAATCAACAATTGCAATCAACAATTGCAATCAACAATTGCAATCATCTATTGAATATTTTATTGCTCTAGTTGTTAGCTTAGATTTAATAAATGGCTAATGGCTAATGTACAACTTAACAGTTTAAAATAAACTGTAATAAAAACTAAGTAAATAAAAATAAGATTATTCCATATTGAACCAATATTATTTCTATATTTGCTTTAATATTTTTATTTGTAGTTGGTTACTGCCTGTTTTAAACTGGGTTTTAACTGGTTTATATGAACAATTTATATAAATAATATTTTAAAATGTAAGACCTCACAGCATAAACATGTTATTTCATTTTTTTTATTTTTATTTTGAGATTTATATAATTTTCACAATAAAGGGTAAAAACCTGTCAACTCTTAAACTACTATTTCTTGTTACAAAATGCTTTTTACCAAGATAATCATTAGACAAATTTCTGTTAACTAATGATATGTTATGAGAGAATTCATCATCCCTCTTTTTTACTTAAAATCATAAAAAATGAATTAATATGGTGCGATGTCTTTAGTTTTTTTTCACATTTAATATATCACTCATGTCACAAATTGTCAAATGTTTTTTTTAGTTTGATTTGAGTTGATTTTAGTTAAGTTTTAGTTAAGTTTGAGTTTAGTTCTTTTTAATTTATTTTTAATTCATTGTAAAATCATTTATTAACTATAAAAAGCTGACATATTAGGATTGTTTAAATGTTTTTGGTATTTTTCAAATAATTAAAATAATAAAAAAACAAATTACAAATAAAAGAAGCTTTTCATTTTAAATAGAAAAATTTCTTTAAAAAAAAAAAAATCTTTACATTTAAAAATTTTTTCATTCAACAAAGTTAACTTTACTATTGCATTTTTTTTGGCAGAGCCATAATTAGTGATTTATTTTTCATTGGTTTGTAACAAATTTATTTGTCCATTAATATTTTTCTGATAAGACTTTTTATACCAGAGTTTTATTGTAAACTAAACTTTTTGAAAATGTAATATATATATATATATATATATATATATATATATATATACATATATATATATATATATATATATATATATATATATATATATATATATATATATATATATATATATATATATATATATATATATATATAAATATATATATATATATATATATATATATATATATATATATATATATATATATATATATAATATATATATATATATATATATATCAGGGTGTTACCCCGGAAAAAATTTCATACAGAGTTTTAGCGAAATTGGGAAATTAGGTGCGGCAAAAAAAATTAAAAAACAAATAAAATAAAAATAAAATAAAAAATAAGTCAATAAAAATTTTAAAAATGCTTGTTAATGACAACACGTTTTTACACATAAAAAAAAGTCGATCAATTTAATTCATTTTTTCGTCATGCATACTAGTCATACATACAGTTTAAATCTGAGACTGACTTAATTTTACTATAATCTGATAAAACTTTGGGAATTTTAAACCAATCGGGAATATCGCGTTATACAGCCATCAGGCTGGGTAACACCCTGTATGTATATATATATATATATATATATATATATATATATATATATATATATATATATATATATATATATATATATATATATATATATATATATATATATATATATATAATATATATATATATATATATATATATATATATATATATATATATATATATATATATATATATATATAATATATATATATATATATATATATATAATAACTTAAATGAAGTACTTACGAACAGCCATCAAAACAATATTATCAATTGCATAATTAGCACGTAGACCATTTGATATTGCAATAAATTCAATAGTCTAATATGAATAAGTTATAAATATTCAGATAAATACTTAAATAAATTGATAAAAAATAAAACATATGAAGTAGCTAATATTAAATAGTTATTAATTCATAATTAAAAAATACCTGAAACGGACTTAACAAGTTAAACTGCAAACTATATGGTATATATGGAGCAGTTGAAGACATTTGTGTTTGATTGTAAACAACAAATGCATTAGGAGCACTTAAAATATCACCATTTGCATTTTTAAACTTAATCTCTGAAAAAAATAATATAAACAATTGCTTTAACAAAAAAAACATTATCAAAAATATAACAAATAAGTAATCTTATACCGATGTCTAAATTGAAATAAACTATTACAAACTACATGACTCACCAAACTGAATACAGTTCACACCGAAAGCATGTAGATTAAATGAAAGAATGAAACTATTGCTGAGTATTGAGTTTATCTGTGTGTAAACCAGTGTACCTCCTTTTGGATACTTTACAGAATCAAAGTAAATATACCATAGACCATTTGCAGCTCCAGATGGACCAGTCCTATCTAATGGCGTTGCAAATCTGTTTACCGTCCAAGCATTATTTGTTGAACTTAATTGAGAGCAGATTACTCCTTGTTCAAAGTCACAATTATAAAGAAGGATATCTATATAATAACAAACAATTAATTTTAATGTGAACCATAAAACATCTACTTGAGATATTTTTAAAATAATATTTACAATATTAACATCAAA